AGAGCGTCACCATCAGATAAATCCAGAATTTGATGTCAAGGTAAGTTTCTAACATCCATTTCTTTTTGATTATTCGTTAACTTTTTTCGCCATAAATAATAGTTAGACTTTGCTACCAAAGTTTCATATTTTTGCAAATTCTGCCACTTAATTTTTTTTTATTTTTTAAATCGTACATTTTATATATCACTTAATATTAAAAATTTTGTATATTTTATCATTCCATTAATTAATAATTTATTTTTATTAATTAGTCACTGACATATTTTATTGATTATTGATGTATCACATTAAATAATATCGTTATTTATATCACATCAACAATCCATATTAATAGTCAATATCAACATATTATAACAAAATTAAGAAATTACAAACATTTTATTTGTCCACTATAATTCATTTTAAGGGCTAGAATGTATATTTCTCTTGAATAATGAAGAGAATTAAATGCTTTTATTTTTATACTTTTATTCATATCTTACAAATTCAAAATAGTAAATAATGTGAGATAAATTTCTTGAACAAATGTAAGTAAGAATGAATCATAATTCCCCTAACTTAAGTTCCAAATTTAATCGTGGTTAACGATCATATTTATTTTAGTCATTGATACTGTAAAATCCTAATTAATCAATTCAAACAAATTATCGTTTTGTTCTATAAACCTAACTATATATAAAGGGAAAAAAAAGACTTGCTTCTTTTGATTGAATAATGTTATCATAACATATTCAAGCAACGAACCAAATAATATTGTCAATAATCTATAATATTTATGAGTAAATATGACATATATAATAGCAACTTGTATTATTGAATAAACATAAAATTCGTGGCTTTCAATTCGGTCTTATATAGTTTATTTTGGTTGAGTACCATTTTTAAACTATTGTTGTTTATTTTGGTCACCGACATCAATTGCACATCCTAAGTTTGTAAACCACGATTTTATTTGAGTCTTTAATATTAATTATATGTAAATCTCATCACATGAAATAAAGTATATATAAAAATGATACACAAGTTGTTAGAATTTAACTCTGGATTGAAACCATACATCTACTAAATGGTCCTTATGAACCCAAGAACATGTTTGGGATAAATGGAAAATAAGAGATTAGTGAAGAAAAGTTGGAGGAAAAATCTAAAACAGGATAAGGTAAAGGAAATGAATACACAATGACGAAGAGTTAAGAATAAAAAGACCTTTTATAGTTAAGTTTTATGTTGGAGTTAGATTTTAAGCTAGTTGTGATTGTTAATTTTTTTTTGGGAATAATGCAAGATTAAGAATTTTATGTTTTATATTGGAGTGAATATTATTGTTCTATTTTTTCTTTATTTTAGACAACAACTTTATTTCCTAAAGATTTGAAGAGACTATAAATGCAACATCTATCAAACTTTTAGATTTTTTTTTGCTTGATATTATAAAGATTTAGTGAGTAGTCCATATTATTCTCTATGTTGACTATATTTGTTTCTAAATGCAAACAACTTATCGACAATATATTGTTGTAATATAAATAAATAATTACGTTCGAATAATACTTGTTTTAAATATGACAATCAACTCCTATATTTACATTATAATGATCTCATATCTTATCGTGGATTTGAAGCCTTGGATTAAGACTTGATTAAAAAATATTTAAAAAAAACTCCCCCTTTGCATATTTCTTTTCTCTTATTATTACTTATTTACATCATTTTACTTGATGATTGATAGTTTTGGCAGAGGGAGGCAGAAACTCTAAGGCAACAATTACAGAATCTACAAGAAAGCTATCGGTAAAATATTTCTACAAAATTCTGACTATATTTAGGACATGTACCATTTGGATAAAATTTTAGGGATATAAGATATTTCCATACTTAGTAGTTTAGTTGTGTCATGATATAGTGCATTCAATCCAGCAAATTTTCCATTATATGTTATGATTTTACTATTCTAAAAACTCCATTTAGTCTTAAATCATTAGAAGTAGTAACCTAATTCTTGCATACAGAATTAATCCTCCAAATAAATTTGCAGAAAGATTAAAGATTGGTAAAGTAAATCATGAGTAGTTTGTGCATAAGATCCCTAACATTTTGAGGATGCAGCCAATTGATGGGAGAACAACTTTACGGTCTAAGTGTAAGAAACCTACAAGATCTAGAGAATCAACTGGAAATGAGTCTCCAAGATGTGCGCATGAAAAAGGTCAAGTGTTTTTTAAATTCAAATTGGGAAAGAATGAAAATAATGTGCATTATTGATTAATCTCATTAGGGCCAAGTTAAACAATATATGTTTTTTTTAACAAGTTTAATCAATTATGCAGGAACAAATTCTAAAAGATGAAATCCAAGAGCTAAATCGAAAGGTCTTTATGAGATATAACCTTTGTTAATCTTCCTCTCAAAATTTTTACAACATTGATGGATCTTTATAATTTATTTTTCACATACAGGGAAGCCTCATCTTTCAAGAAAATGTGGAACTTTTCAAGAAGGTAAATCTCATTCACCATGAGCACACACAACTATACAAGAAGGTAGCCTGACTTATTTAATATGTACGACATCCCCAAAAATTACAAGAGACTTAAATTCACTTATGTCATGAAGTGCAACAATAAAAAAAATACATATTGCTTAACCATATGAGGCTTGATGTTCCAGGTTTATGGTACAATAGATGTGACTACAACAAGCAAAAATCCATTTGTTTCACCTCCATATGGTATAGGTGCAAGGGGATGTCCACAACAAATGGTCGAACTTCAATTGTGCCAGCCTGAGCAAGAAGCTTATGAGACATCGGAAACTGCCACAAAATGAAAGTCAAGTCTAATTTCGTATAATATTTTACTATTACAACTTTTGGAGTAAAAGCTATGATAATATTCAGTATAATAATCACACATGCAAAAAAGCGAGATATTCCTTAGATGAATATTTCTCACTTCACTCAAAGAATCCCAATAGAGAACAATGCACTTCCTGATGTTGTTTGTATTAGTTATATAAGATCTAATTATAGTAAAAAGACATTTGTTTGTAAAACTGCATTTGAAAAAAAGAAGTTTTGAATAACATAGCGTGGATATATTTTTTCCTTTTATGACAAATTATTATTTGAAGATAAACTATGAATGTATAAGATTTTCAACACAAGTTTTTCTTTATTAACCATACAAAAGCACAATAAAGTATTGCCATTTAATGTAGAAAATTTAAATATCATGATAGATTTAATAGCATCTACATAATTTAAATACCTCAATGCCTCAGTCATTATAGGCCTATTTCTCTAGTAGGTTGTATGTACAAGATATTATCAAAGGTCCTTGCAAATAGATTGAAGTGTGTCTTGCCAAGTGTTATTGATGAGAGGCAAAGTGCCTTTATTGGGGGTAGAAATATTCTTCATAGTGCATTGGTTGTAAATGAAGTTGTGGATGAGGCTAAAAGATTTAATAAACCAACTATATTTTTTAAAGTGGATTATGAAAAGGCATATGATTCAGTGTGTTGGACATATCTTCTGTATATGCTAAGACGTCTTGGTTTCAATACCCTTTGGATTAGTTGGATAAGTGAATGTCTCATGTCATCCAGAGTATCTGTACTTGTGAATGGTAGTCCTTCAGAGGAATTCGGTGTCAAAAAGGGGCTTAAACAAGGTGATCCATTGTCTCCATTCCTTTTCACAATTGTAGCTGAAGGATTAACGGGAATGATGAGGGAAGCAGTTAGTCAAAAGAGATTTTGTGATGTGAAAGTTGGATCTCAACAGGTTCCTATCAGTATTATCCAATATGCTGATGATACCATGTTTATTGGTGAGGCTAAATTAGAGAATGTAATGGCAATTAAAAGTATGATGAGATGCTTTGAGATGGTTTCAGGTTTGAAAGTCAACTTTTGTAAGAGCAAGTTCGGAGCTATGGGAATTGATTCTACTATGGAGGAAGGTTTTGCCCAATTATTGAATTGCTCACTTCTATCCTTTCCTTTTACATATCTTGGGATTCCCATTGGTGCCAATCCAAGAAAGTTTGAGACATGGAGACCTATTGTTATCAAAATTCAAAAAAAGTTATCTTCTTGGAAGTGCAAGGTCTTATCAATGGCAGGTAGACTGTGCTTAATTAACTCGGTCTTAACTTCCCTACCATTATTATTTCTTTCCTTCTTCAGAATGCCTGTTAAGGTCAGCAAACAAATCGTTCGTCTACAAAGAAACTTTTTATGGGGTTGTAAGGAAGATCAAAGAAAAATCTGCTGGATAAGCTGGGATAGGATCACTTTACCAAAGAAGATGGGGGGATTGGGAGTTAAAAATATTACCAGGTTTAATATGGCTTTGCTAGCAAAGTGGAGGTGGTCAATTTTTCATCAAAGACATTCATTATGGGCTAGGGTATTATATTCGAGATATGGAGGTGGCACAAATCTTTGTGCTCAAAGTAGTTCTCGAAGTGATTCCATATGGTGGAGGGATCTTCTTTTGGTATGCGGTGGTATAGAACAAGACAATTGGTTTGAAAGGCAACTTAAGTGGAAAATTGGTTCAGGATCTAGAGTTAGATTTTGGCTAGATAGTTGGATGGGAACAGTCTGCCTAGCAAAGGTTTTTCCGAGGTTATTCAACATTTCTGAGAAGCAAAATAGTCTTGTTCAGGATATGGGTTCTTGGACGAACAACAGTTGGACTTGGAAGCTACATTGGAGACGAGAAAGGTTTGAATGGGAGAAATCATTGGAGCAACAATTATTGCAACAACTTACAGAGTATAGTCTTAGGCCGGAACAGGATGATTCATGGGGGTGGCAGAGTGAACCGTCTGGAAGTTATACAGTAAGGTATGCTTATCATGCTATCACCTCTGAAACTATAGCAGGATCTTATAATGATGTACCTAATTGTATCTGGTCGATCCCAGCACCACCAAAAGCCAAAATTTTTGTGTGGCGAATGATGAGTAGGGGTCTCCCGACGGTGGATAATCTGGCTAGGAGGAGAATTGTCCTCTCA